GCCTATGCATTATTGACTGGTCACCCAACCATTGCAAGGCTAGTAATTATTGATAAATAAAAAGAGAAAGAAATAAATAGCACCAGTGTTGGGAGCTCTTGACATATATTAACTCTTGGTAGAACAGCTAGCAGTTTCTATTATTTGCTTCTTCTATAAGGTAGAATCGTTTGGGAAGGGCAGTGAAGCTGGTTGATAATGACCCAGTTATATGAGGGTTTAAACCAGTGTTTTACAAACATGCCATTTGAAAAGGAGTGGACTTCAACTCCCAGATTTCCCCAGCCAGCATTTAGGAATCCTGAGCAGAGAACTATGCCCTCATTACTACTTGTAATAGAGATAAATACACTTTGGGTTCTTTCACATACACCCCTAATTATGGTACAAACATACCCCAATATTCAATCGATCAATCAGAATAGAGCTGGAAGGGACCTTGGAGGTCTTCTAGTCCAGCCCCCTGCTCCAGCAGGAGAACCTATATTATTTCAGACAAGTGGTTGTCCAGTCGCTTCTTAAAAACTTTGAGTGATGAAGCACCCAGAATGTCTGAAGGCAAGCTGTTCCACTGGTTAATTGTCCTCACAGTTAGGAAGTTTCTCCTTAATTCCAGGTTGCTTCTCTCCTTGATTAGTTTCCATCCATTGTTTCTTGTCTTGCCTTTTGGTGCCTTGGAAAATAAATTGACTCTCTCCTCCTTGTGGCAGTCTCTTAAATACTGGAATACTGCTATCATGTCCCCCCCAGTCCTTCTTTTGTCTAGACTGGCCATTCCCAAATCCTTTTTCATATGTTTTAATTTCCAGGCCTTTAATCATCTTAGTTGCTCTTCTTTGCACTTTTCCCCAAGTCTCAACATCTTCACTTCTTAAAGACACATCCATATCAACTTACCTTAATTCTATCTATCATGGTGACCAAAACTGGATGTAATATTCCAAGTGTGGTGTTACCGAGGCATTATAAAGTGGTACTAATACTTCATGTGATCTTGATTCTATCCCTCTGTTAATACAGCCTAGGACTGCATTGGCTTTTTTGGCAGCTGCAGCACTCTGCTGGCTCATATTTAAGTGATTGTCCACTAGGACTCCGAGGTCCCTCTCACAGTTACTACTATTGAGCCAGGTACTACCTATACCAGGGGTGTCAAACTGCCAGCCCGCGGGCCGGACACGTCACCAGGCAACCCCGTCCACCCCATTGCCAGCAATGGAGAAAAAGCTCCAATACGTTGCACGGTGTCACGTGATGTCACGAGTTTGACATGTCTGACCTATACTATACTAGTGCATTTGGTTTTTCTTATACTTCTCTACAAGTCTGGTGTAAAGTTAAAATAGGACTTCTGCTGCCTAAAGAAGTCCTACTACTAGTTTTGTTCATGTTCTATCTGTACATTTGCAAATTAATAGATGCCAACCAAGCTGTGCTATCAAGTAAATGTAATCTACCTAGAAATATGTACTTCCGTGCTGTGAAACTGTGAAACTAAACTTGATTTAGGAGTAGTTATCTTGTTTGTGAAAGATATAACATTTTAGAAATTTATTTTGCTAATGATTTAAAAATAAAGCTTGCAGTAGATATCAATAAACAGGTACAATATCTAAAGAATTTATCACCAAATTGATTCCTTGAAGTTTCTTAATAGCAATAGCACTTAGACTTATATACCGCTTCACAGCCCTCTCTAAGTGGTCTACAGAGTCAGCATATTGCCCTAACAATCTGGGGCCTCATTACTGACCTCAAAAGGATGGAAGGTTGAGTCAATCTTGAGCTGGTCAGGACTGAACTCCTGGCTGT